TGAAAGAATTTCGTCGCTGATGAAAATTTTTGCGTTCTCGCTATCGGGAAAGTTTCCATCGGCAACAAAAGGAGAAAAATACAATTTGTCCTAGTTATTAATTTTAGTATTACACCAATCGTTTTTTTACTTATGAAAAAGACAGATATTACACTATAATACCTGTCCACTTTATCCCTATAAATTATAAGCTCTTAATTCTTAAATTGTCACAAATCATACATAATTTAATCAGCCGATTATGCGGATTACGTGGATGTGTAATTTCTGTGTTACGCTTTTCATGCGCGTGATATTATTATTTTAATCTTGATTTAAATCGAGCTACTTTATCGTGTTTTGTACATCGACGCAACGAAAACAGAACGCATCACGAAATTAGTCGCGCAGGAAATTGTTTGTACGAAGAACACGCACATACCTGTCAGTGTCGTAAAAAAAGTGTGGAGGCACCTCAACGTCTAGATCATACTGGAACACGGAGATGCACGGGGAGAAAATGTGAGTTTTCCATTCCAGGCGTCTGACGAGCATTAATTACGGACAGCGCATACGGTGACGTCGACGCGTTATCGGCATTGTTATTCATGATCACTGGCGGGATCCTAGATGCGACAGACCGTAACATCCAGAACGCCATAGGTGGTCCTGGTTTCTGAATGCTGCGACGACCTCCTGACACTTACGATTAGCGAATGTCTGCGGCGTTTCCCCAGTTAGACACGTTACACACTTTATTATCATCTCGAACTGACAGTCAGCGGTATTTGATAAACGACGATGAAGTCGACCTTCTAATTCATGTGTGATTATCCATACTATACGTATATATACAGCTGTATAACAGCTGATTATATCCAATTTGTTGTAATGAGGATGGCACTTCAGTTTTTATCAGATTATTTCTATCGTTTGAGCAGACCGTTTTAAAATTTCCACTTTTCTGCGCGCGAAAATTATTTTCCGCAAAAATGAGAAATAATTTTCAGTCAAATATATCTTCGTTAAGCGGTAAAATATTAAAATGGGTATCTCTTTTTCCAATTTATTATTTTTACGCACGTGAGACTTGTGTAGATTTATGCACAATGGAAAATTGCGCTTTGAGCTTGATGTGATAATTCTGATACATTAAAAGTCACATACATAATTTTAATATATTAAAGTCAATATTTATCGCGCGTTGTAATGCATGCATATTTAACGTACGTATCGTGGATTACGGTGCGAGTTCTCACACAGGAGGTGCTCGAGTAAAATTATTGCCGTCAGACTTAGAAAGGGGATGATAGGAATACTCTAGTGTGTTCTAAGTAAATCGGGCAATTCACTGGTGAAACGATCGTTCTGACACTTAAAAGACCATTAAGAACTTGATCACTAGTTGTCATTCGTGAAAATTTATAATGTAATATAACGAACGTTACTTACAATACAAAATTTATTTCCCGAGTAAAAATTTTATATGAAGATGTAAAGTTAAGTAACAGGTGATTTATTTCCATATAATTCAGTTCGAAAAAGAAAAATAAAAATCGTTTTCAGTTATTTGTAATTTGTAATTTGGAAATCGACGCTCTGATATTTTTCTCAAGTGAAAATATTCTGTAAATTAATTTAAAAATTTATGCGTAAAGAAAATATCGAGAAATATTTCGCACACATTCATGCAAATGTGAAATTACATTATTTATGCAAACCTATACGAGCATATAGCGCTCCGAACCTTACGTACATTGCGAGCTGGTTCGTATTAAATTTATATGGTTCAGAGAGCAACTCTGATAATCCACGTTCGAAACCGAAATTACGCGGAATATAACGTAGCGGAGGTTGGCGTTCAGTTTCGAATTATCGACCATTCTCGGGCGCATCGATAGAATCCATTGTTGGCTTGCACTCAAAGTGGAAGCGACATTCGCGGAGACGAGCGGAAGATTTTGGGCGATGAACGGATGGACATTCGGAATCGTGTACGAGCTTAGACTAACCCGCTCCTCTGTCGAAATGACCCCCGCTCTCTCGAGTCGAGGTTCGATGTGGCTTTCGGGGGGGACGAGATATCGCATTATTCCCGACTGAATGGGGTAAATCAGGGTCTCGTAGAGTTCCAACGTGGAATCGGCGGTTCTCTCGGATCGCTGATGTCGAGAGGATGAGGGTTAGCTGGCGGCAGCGGCTGCCTTGGGAATTCAATTATACCTACGGAACAATGGCACCCGCGCTGGTAATGAAGGGACCGTCGCCGGGAGGTCATCAGATTACGTGGTATTTACAATATATAAGCCGGATGGTTGGCGGATGAAGAGAGTTCCTGGCGGCATTTCTTTCTCGCAGTCCGACTCGCGTCCCCTTCCACGAAGCGCCGCATAAAGAGTTAATTCGTAAGACGGAGGTGGATTAGCGTCAATTTCTTAGATAGCTGTATGCGGAGAAAGCGGTTCATATCGCACAGAGTCACTTCAGCACTTTCCTCCGCTGTGACCACGTCTTTCATTGCGCGATTTCGCGCGCATGCCGCTAATTAAAGATATGCATTCCATTTCGTCCCGCTACGTCGACGTCGATGTAGTTTCTATCCGAGTTATTTATCGCAATGAACAAGTAGATAATCTTGCTTTGACTCACACCCGGGAACAATTCCTCCGTGAATTTACATCGATAAACGCGACGCGCGCGTTACGACGCAACCCATTCGGTGCACTCTATACGCTGTAGCGCTGCAAATTGGATGAAATGGTAGCTGCGCGAACGCGCTACTCGTCGAGACCGTGTTACGCGATAACTCTTGACATTAACGTTGGTTTACGGCGGGTATTCGTTTGGGCAAACGCCTGAATAAATATCGGCTTAGCGCGAACGAGGTAGAGAAAATGTTGCGGAGCGGAAATATTTAGTCGTCTTTGACCAGGCCGGAGAGAGCGAGAGGGATTCGTAATTACGTTAAGGGTGAGAGAAAGCATGGGGGATAGTCTAACGGTCCTGGGTCTCTCGCTCGATCGACCATGCGTTTAGAACCGGGAATGGATTCTATCAATAACCTCTTTAAAACGGGCTAAATTCATCATCCGCCCTGTATTCGGCGGCCGTTCGCGTTCGTTTTCTACATTTCCTTTTCGTCCTTCGAAAGGAAGTTGCGACCGGGTTGCCATTCCCGCGCGAGGGGTTGCGGCGACACCCAAGCAAACCGATCCGAAGTAAATTATCGATCGTAACCCTTTGATATGTAAGGAAAATTGAAAAGACACAAAGTTGTAAAAGCAACATTGTATTTTTATTCCGTGCTATTCAATTGTCGTATCTTAATTTGTTATTCCTTTCCGCGTTTCAATTACGAAGGCTAATCAGTTCCTTTGTCTGTGCCTAACGTCGTCAAGCAGTTGAAACACGCGAATGATTTATCCTCATTTCTCATTCGCGACGCAGTCGTGTATATTTTTCTCTTCTTGTCGTGCACGACAACGAGAAAGAAAAATATTTCTTTCGTACGGTATTTATGTGCGTTCTGTGAAATATGTTTAAAATATTCAGGACTTGTTTAGTGGAGAGTATTACCGCAACAAAAGAAATACAGAACGCTGTCGCTGCGACTCTCTCCTCTTTGTGCGTTGTTGAAGACCTGGGGATTGGAATTAACATGGGATCCGGAGTGCGTTTCCACTGAGGGAGAATCGGGTGTCTCGTTAATATGGATTTCACTAACGATCCGACTAATTTGTACGCTCTTTTTCATTCGGAAAGGTATCCCTCCGTAAAATAGTAAACGAGACGAAAATGCTGAAAAGACGTTGCAAGGACAAAGGATGCAACGAGGGATCAGTGTCCGCTGTACATCGACTGTGGATCCGCTCATCCGTGGAGAGCCTAGTGGTCGACTCAGCATACATTTGCATGTGAATGACCAGAAAGATGCTTAGATATTACGGATATGTCCCCTATGCGGCTCTTCTATTAGGCAGGTAGACGAGATAACGTCCGATGTCAAAAATATGAGGACAATTAGGTCACGAGAGGGGGAGAAAACATCTTGACGGGACGACAGCACGTGTCATTGCACCCTCGAGACATATTGATTAGCTATCTGATCCGACACATACATGGACTGCATTCCCAATCAAAAAGTTCCACAGCGATTTTAATAAATTTTATAAATGGAATTGGGACTATTAGGATATATAGTCTTATAGTTTGTGTATAAATTGTTAGAAAACTCGTTAAATCATTATTGATTAATTCAACTCTGAAAACTAGCGCGAAAGAAAAGACATCTTCAAAAACCATAATAAAGTGTGATACTAAAACATCACTAAATTTTTTAAAGAAAAATATCGTAAAAAACGCTTTGTCTTATTTTTTTCAATCTTTGCTTTTTCATAATTTTATATGTAGGAGGAATGTTCTTTCTATATAAAGATACAATATTAATATAATTTCCTTGAGTTTTTAATGCGTTATCGCGCTTTATTCTAATTGTAAATTGGAGAGGTTACCGCTCTATCGATCGCTCTTGTACCAACTAGACGATGACACGATGGACACGACAAAGTCAAAACCTGGAATCGCGTAACTTGGACCGTCGATTAGGCGATCCGTACACGTCTGCATCGAGTCGTTTCCCCTCGTTAAGGAATGTAGGTGGATGAGAGGGCGAAGATGGCGTGCGGATTGCGGAAGCAGTCGCGAGCGTTTTCGCGCTTCGCAGCCGCAGCAGTTCGGAGTTGCCATTCGGAGCACGTAGATTGCTAACCTAACTTGTTTAGCGGTTTTAGCGGTATTTGATTAGTTGAGTGAATTTCCGAACTGTTTCAGACCGCCGCCCGTTCACTTGGGCGGGCTGGAAATCGGACGAGGACAAACCTTCGGTGAATTCGATAGATACACGGAGATATCGGTGACGCGTCTCTCTTGTAAAGTAAAATCGTTCACCGCCGGGAGGAGCCAGGAGATGTATTTCTACGTTATATTTTAGAACGTAATATTATCGAACGGAATTGGCTTACCTTGCGAGTAGTTCATGTCCTTCTTTCATGTACCTCGATAGTCACTCCTTGTCGGAGTCGCGGTTATACAGGGACAAATCTTCACCTGGAATAAGCGAATAATTGAATTAGAAATGTAAAAAACTGAGAATAGCTTATTAAATTTAGAGATGATTAAAATTAGAGTGAAATCGATACATGTGAAAAATCATACATGATTTTAATATAACTTTGAACGTATAAGGCACGACAGAGCAAAAAAATAAAGTTTCCAAACAATTTTATTTGTACACATAAAGAGAGAGTGCTTCATCGACGATCACAAAACTAGAATACGACATGTAGTACATACGTTGATTCGATCGTAGGTAATCGTACGTCTCTCTCTCGCGCGGCGCGGTATAACATAGGAATTCTCGGTATTCGAATTATATTCAGGCGTTACTATGGTTGACGACGTTGGATCAAAGATAATATTGGTTCGCAGTCAGAAAATGGATCGAGTGTTATATCCGTGTTCGAAGTTCGCTCTTCGCGACCGCAGCGATTTCGAGGACGATAGCCGAACGTGAAATAAAGAGGATATTCGGCGGCGGTGGCGGCGACGGCGACGACGACGCTGACCCTCGCGAGTAAATTAGTTCCGGAAACTATTTCCAAGCCGGTTTAACGTCCGACGTATAACCAGCAATCCCTCGTACGTAAGCTCGGAAACTCCCCTCGCCCATAATGCCGCCGAGCACATTCTGAAAACGTATAACTGAGGCAATCCTTTTTTGACGATGGCGAACGAAACGTTGCGTGATTTAAATGAGATATCAGTCGTAACGTTCTTCTTTATTGTTCGAAGACGGCCGAATTTAATTAACGTTATCTTAGCTTAGAAGATATAATTTTACATTAATTTTTTTTAACAAAAATTATAAATGTGCGAAAATGTGACGATATCGGCGTAAACATAGATTACACGCAGTTATCGACTAAATAACGCTGGAATATTGCTTCCCTTTTCAACGATTGGAAATCAAGGGGAGGGGTGGTTACGTAGAACCGCCAAAGTCCGTTAGCAGCCTGCAATATACGAGGACTTATTACATAACTGAGCCAATTTTACCGCAAACGGTTTGTCCATCTGGCGAACTAATTAGCAACTTGCTATACAGAACAGTGCGGGCGCTCTAATAACGGTACGCGTATCGGCCGCGTTTTATTCGACGTATACGTAAGCCATAACACACTTGTAATTTCCTCCTAACACCCAGCGTTAATTGCGTTACCGATTTATACGACCGATAATAATCCTTTCGCGTTACTCTTTACTGTTGATTCGTAGCGCTCCGCAGCGGAAAATACGCGAGTAGACCGCACGATTGATACGACCGCTATTTCCAAATTATCCATAATTATATTGCGCGTTGAACCGTGAATGCGCCTTATTAGCAAACATCCTGGCAATGTGAGTCAGCAAAGTAACTTGGAATACCTCTTGAATATCGCAGAATTAATTGCAACATCTCGTCAAACTTTCGCGAGACGTTAATAAATCATATTCGTTGCCGTCGAGTAATAGTTTAGTTTCGGGATTGTAGGTCTGAGAAAATTTCAACAATTAACGCGCAAATATAAAAGAAAAAATTCGCGATAAAACTCGACGTTCGATAATAGATTTAAAAGCTTTATGAGCAGTTCACTTACGTTCTATTATTTCTTTCGAGAACTCGGGGTTACAGGTAGAAGATGAGAGTTAAAAAATGTATGTTAACGTGGAAGAAAATATCGCAATTCTTCGGAAAATATCACGATTCTTTGCGATAAAGTAAATTCGTCCAGCATGTCTATTTGGGGATATTTATTCATCGTGACGGATTTCGCTTATCGCGCGATTGCGCGCGGGGAGGGAGAAACAATTAAAGTAAAGTGGCCAAAGTTTTCTCAGCAAATATCACTTACGAAAATACAATCGAGACTCGTCGCAATCGAAGGATGCATTGTGGGACCGTGGAAAATGGCGGTCGGAAATAATCGGATAATGTCGCTCGCGCTAGGACGTCGGGATGAGATGGGGTAGTCGGGGAAAACGGGAAAATAAGAGAAGGGAAAGACACTCACGGATACGATTCGATACGCTTAAGATAAATTGATACGAGATGGATTATGAACGAAATATATATACGGCTGTTATGAAGCACGACGAATTGGTCAACCATTTGGAAGTAACAGTCGATGAAGGAAGCAAGGACTGCTGTTAGGAGATTAATTTTGCTTTGAAAGATGTATAGATATATACGATGTGTAGAATATTGTTTCCAAAAAGAATCTTGAAGCTTTGAAAAAAATTTAGAAAGAAAATATTTTCTTTCACGCGAGGATATTTTAGAATACAGCAGAAATGATTAATTACACGTAAGAAGTAGCAGCATTTTTTGTAGGAGCATTTATTCAAAAAACATTATCTGTTTAATATTGCCGCAGAAGCGAAAGAACGAAATGCAAATTTAAATTTCTAGTAGTACAATTCTAGTAGTACAATTTTGATTATATTAATTTAAACATTAGCCAGACGACGCTACACACTGTCGCGCGAGAACGTTCCATCCGAGAATGAGCATTTCAAAGATCGAATAAGGGAATATCTCGCGCGAGAAATTTCGCCGAAGGTGCGGATCGATCAATTTTCATGAATCTTCGAGAGGCAGCGAGTTTCGAAGGTACTTGCGAAATGAATTCACGGAAGACGGGTGGGATTCTTTATCGGGTTGGCTATTCCCAGCAGTATATGGGCGAATAAGGTCCGACCATTTGCAGAATAAAAGGTCCGGGAGAGGGGTAACGTCAGGGAGGGGTAACGTCAGGTATGTATCGGTACAACCCGATAGAGCCAATGCACATCGCGCGCCCGCTGACGTGCGACCGAGGGATAAATTGAATTATCATAAAGAAATTGCGTCCGAATATTTCATCCGGTTTGTACGTTGAACGCCGGCTAGTAGATGAGAAGGCGTCGATAGCTTTTCCAATATCGTCGCGAGCCGCACCGGGCGCCTGGGCACCGGGAATTTTAAGAATGGAGACTTTTCCTTCGGTACCTCTCGGCACACGGACGTGCACAAACACGCGCTCTAAATCCTATACGTACGATATTTACACTCCTGCGAGGAGCCGGCGGAAGAATCGCGAAGGAGAAAAAGAGAAATCGGTTTGCACTTCGAATCTTTATCACAATGTCAATTGTCTGCACCGTTTCTCGGAACGAGAATGTACAGGTTGAAAAACTGTCCTGAACAAGTAAAGTCAATTTAGTCGTAAGTATTCTTGAATCTGTTCCGACTTCACTTTAACCATACACGCACGCGTGGCAAGCATGATCTGGAAATTCGGAAATTTATCGTCGACGAATCTACTGGATTTATCTTATTCCTCGATTGGAATCCTAAATTCTTTGCTCGAACTAGTTGTAAAATTTTAATAATAATGAATTAGCTTATATTTATTTCAGATTAGATCGTAAAAGATTTAATCGTCGTTAATAAATTCGAAGAATTACGATGCTACAAATGCAATAACTGACAGATGTAAATTTGCATGAATTGAATTGATACCATCCTAGTGTATATTCATATATAACCGCATATGATATGTATTCGGATACCTCGGCATATCGATATATCGCTTAATTTTAACTACATGAACGGCGTATATAATGTAAGCCCAATATCCTAGGACCTGCATACAAGCGGACGCCATACGTTGCAGCCTGAGCACGGGCATCAAATACCCGACACCGCCATTATACGCTCATTTCAGGTTAATACTCGACTGATGCTGCTACATCAATCTAACGACTGACGGTGTCGGACATTAAAGTTGGCCGCCGTTGAGGGCTACATTGCCGAACGCATTGTCGGTCTTTACAAGATTACCGCGCAAAGTAAACGAGAAATATTGTCTAATCGAAATGTCGAAACTACATCAAAAATAAAATGAAATGATGTTTATTCGCGTCATTTATAGAATCTTTTTCCTAAGAAGATTTTAAATCTTTTAGGTATTAATATCCTACGTTTTGTGCCGTGCACTGGAGATGTGAATTAATATTCTAATTGACTTTTATGTCGATACAATTGAATTTTATGTCAATAATCATTATTTTGCCTTTTTATCTCTTCGCCATATTCCAGAATTGATGCAAAAATAACGACATTTTCAGGCAATTAAAATTAAATCTTATTGTTACATTCTAACTCTTGTATTCTCCTTACAATTGAATTAAAATGACATTAAAATGCGAAATATAAATTGAACGATAATAAATCATTGAATATTCATACATATATTCTGCTGCAACTATAACAATTGCTAACGAGATAATCTAGTAGCACATACAGTTTCCATAAGCTTCCTCTTGTATTGGCATTGTGACGCTGCAGCGGACAGACTGGATACAAACTCGCTAGGAAAAAGGAAAAAAAATTAGAGTGAGTTCAAAGGTCGTCTCGTAAACGAGTCATTTCGAAGCCTCTTTCCCCCGTTGTCGGCGTTTCTCTCCGTGCATTGCCGCGAGCTCGCCACCGAGGAAATAACTGCAAGTCGTAAAGTCTCGTAAACCGCCCCTTCGAAAGTCGCCGCCGCCGCTGCGCCGCCGCCACTGCCGCCAAGCCTCACCGCTGCGAACGCCTCGTGTACACCCGCGCTCGTAATTCGTAATTTAATTTCAGAATCCGCCGACTTGGCCGGCGAAGTTAGCGTGTGGCTGCGTGGCACATGTGTGCGAGAACGTGAGTCACTGCCGGGTGCAAAAACCGGGCGAATCGTTAAGTAGCCGCGCACCCACGAAATCGCGTACGAGCAAATGTCACGTGTGTATGTGGGTGTGTAGGTGTAGTATGGGGCCGGGCGCGTATATCGGGAAGCGTCATGAACCCTCCGGGGGAGCGCCAAGGGGATGCGAGTTGCATCCAATTCATCATCGCTCACCCTTTGTGTCGCTCGCGCCGGCGACGCGGTTGTCCCGTCGGATTGCGCGAACGGGAGAAAGTAAATTCGTCACGGTATATACGATTTGTATCGCCGTCTCTCGCAATTCGCGCGAGTGATTTCTTAAGGAAT